CACATTTTGAGTAGTTTGACTATAATCATTGCAAAACCTGACCACTACAACCAATAAAACACAACTTATCTCAGAACATTTTCACTCTTTTCATAAAATATCAGTTCCACAAGAAATAGAAAAAACTGAAGGTAAATACAGTAATATTAGATCATATAAAAATTGACTTCAAGATGTGCATAACAATATTGAATTGGGTTTACGTAAGTATGATGCAGTAAAGGCAACATAACGTAATAACAATTTTCACTGACCAACTACATCAATGGACTTTGAAATACCCATGCATATAATTCATAAACACATATTAAGTTATATGAGGGGTTACAAAATGTTGAATAGTGAAAATTATACTTGAGATTAATTGGCAGTCATTTATTTTTTTTCAATTCGATTAGAGTGCAAAATCAGTGAAACATAAGATTGATATCAATTGATAAAATTGGTCAAAAACAGAGGGAATAAAAAAAAATAAAAGTTTTCATTTTAACTTTATAAAATAAAAGTAATTCTATATTAGTTGTTTGCTAAATATAAACTTGTTACTATTATTACCCATTGATGTGTATTATTCAAATTTTAGTTTAAGTGTGACAATATTTTATTTTTATTATATATTTTAAATGTTAAGAACCTATGCATTTACGTTTTATTTTAACTTTTAACATTACTAAATATATATCATTTTATATATTTTTAATGTATTACTATTAATTTAACCTTAATTTCAATCTGATTAAACTATTAAATTTTAAAACAGAGTTTTGATCATAGCTTAGATGTAAAAGTTCACAATAATTTATTTGGAAACAGTATTTTGACTGATTTAATTATAGGTCGGGTTTTAAAGAATTAATAGTTACATCCTTCTAAGGATAGTTATGGACAAGTATAGCAGTCACTTGAAATTCTGCATTGTTTGTGGTAAGACTGCTACAACGCCAAGAAAAAACATTGGGAAAAATGACTACATGGTATCATAACAATTAAGACGCAAATCCTATAAGCGGTGTTTTAGGAGAATTTGAAGAACTCTAGCTAATATTTGGTGGTGGCTTGTAGAGGTAGAGATTTTGCGTGTGGAACATTGATTGTGCATTATATGGAGTGCTCGTTCGTGATCTTGGAAGTGATTGGGTATACATACTTGGTTGGAAGGTAGTTGTTAAAGGAAGGTTAGCCACTTGATGAGACATAAGTATGACTGTTTTTTTTTTTTTGGGTTTGATATTCCTTGGAGCTAATTATAAGATTAAGATTACGAAAAACTATCTTTCTTTTCTTTAAATTTTCTTCAAATGAGTGGACACAAACAAAAACGTATATTTGTCCAGGTCTTTAATAATGCGTGTGATACTTCTTTGTTTCAATTACTTTCTTTTTGTATAAAGAGATATGATCTTTGTCCATATTTGATAGTGGGGTTTATGAGAGAAGAAAGAGAAATTAATATTGTGGTTAGGTGGTTAGAGGGGGAGTGCTTAATCGTTAGCAATTCAGTTAACAATTGATTAGGATGGGAAACCTTATAAAAAGGTTGAGGGCTATTGTAAAGGTTTAACTTTTGATATTTTGTGTAAACAGGAGTTTGTTTCTGTGGAGGAAGAGTGCTCCCTTGAGAGTTGGGTGTGTTCTTGTACTTTCTTTGAATACAACAGGAATATACAATTTTGTTCTTTGTTGCCTATGTGTGTTAGTGGTGAGTGTGTGATAGATATGTTCATGTACTAAAGAAATCTATCAAATTGATCCGACCTGCCAGATCCCAAGGTGTGGAGCGAGATGGAAGGAAAAATGAATGCACTAGAGGGAAGGATGGATGAAAGAATGAATGCGCTGGAAGGAAGGTTTAATTCGATGGAGACGATGGTGGAGGAATTAAAGGCAGAAATGAGAGGTGTTCACCAAGAATTACAAGAGATCACGGACATTCTTGGAAAAAGGACGAGGAACCAGGATAAGAGCTCGGACGAGCAACGTGGGAGGATGAGCTGACCATGAAGGAGCAATTCCCGAACTTCAACCTTGAGGACAAGGTTGAACTTGAAGCGGTAGGTAATGATAGAGTGTTAAGGGTTTATGAGAGGAGGAAGAGAAATTACTATTGTGGTAAGGCGATTAGGGGGAGTGTTTAACAGTTAGTAATTCAGTTAACAGTTGGTTAGGATGGGGGAACCTTATAAAAAGGTTAACGACTATTGTAAAGGGTTAGCTTTTGATATTCTTTGTGTAAACAAGAGTTTATTCTTGTGGATAGAGAGTGTTCCCGGGAGTTGGGTGTGTTCTTCTAATTTCTTTTAATACAAGAGGAATATATAGAGTTATTCTTTGTTGCTTATGTGTGTTAGTGTTGAGTGTGTGATCAATAGATTCATGTACTATAGAAATCTCTCAATATTACTAAAAAAGCTTATCTAGTTGGTTTGGAGGAGTGCAAAAATAATTTGTATAGGCATTTTTTTATTAGCAAAGAAATATATTGATTGTGGAGCACTTAGGGTGCTCTAACCTTTTTACAAAAAATATATGCACAGTTTTTCAGTAAGTATAAAAAACAATCAAATAGTATTACCTACCAAAAACCTATTAATCTACTTATAGATGTTCACAAAAAAATCTACTCGGTGCTCTATGAATATAGCTAGAATGAATTCATGAAGTTATTGTTTCACTTTTTGTTGTTGTATTTAACTTTCTAGCTAAATATAGGAACCCCTAGCAATCTTCATACACTGCTCTTTCAAACTTGTAGGGATAAGGATTCTTGTGAATCCCTCGGTGAAAAGTTAGCAGCATGAACTCCATTATAAAATGTATTTTCTAGGACCACACCTACAAGAAAAAAAAACCAACCATTCTAGATCCCAAAGTCTAGGTTATAGATCTAAGAATATGTGATACACTGCTTACATATTTAGAACTTTGTAAGATACATGATGTGGCTTGAAAGCATTTGGGTCAATGGAAGACAATTCCATTTGTCAAAGGTTCTATGATTTCTTTTTTCTTTTTTAGAAGAGATGTGAAGGGTTTTGACTATTGGAACTTTGAATTTATCTTCTGACATTTGTCATGTTTTTTCTTGGACAAAAGATTTTGTTTTTGTTTTTATGAAACTCATGAAAACTCAAAGTTGGACTCACATACATTTTCTTCCTTTATATTATTGGCAACTTAAAACAATTCTCTCAATAGCATAAGGAATTAGTACACTATCTTTAGATTATTATATCAAGAATAAGTCTCGAGGTTTCTTTGCAGTGTTTTGATTGAAGTTAATTTGTTATCTGATTTGCCTAATCAAATTTTGGTGGAAAAACCAAAATTTTCATTTATTGCTTATATGAAGTATGAGAAATTATCTCTATTTTGTTCAAATTGTAAAATGATCAATCATGACTTATCTAATTTTATATGGTTACAACAGGATACCAATGTTATTTCTAGTGGAGAGAAAACCGTTGACACAAAAATACAACAACATTATCATCCAAAGATTGTTAGTGCACAAGATGGGACTAAGGGATCTTTAGCTCAAGTGGTAAAGCCCATGGTGGAGCTAATGGTGGAAGCTATGGTGGAGACTGTGATTTAGTCTTTTATGGTACAACTTGTTGCTCAGTCACCGCCTGAGCTAGTGGTGAGTAATCATGATAATATTTGTATTGTAAATGGATCTTCTCTTATTAAGAATCTAGATGGTGATGTGCTATGGAATCTGATTCCTTGGTTAGTTCTTTGGAGGATGTCACCCTCATTGTGAATAGTTTGTAAAATTTACAATAATTAAATTTGACTCATAACAGTTCAGGGACACTTCCTAATCTTTTGACATATAAAGAGACTCGTTTTACATAGAAATTGAAAATAGTTTCCAAATGAGTTAATATGCTTAATGAGATAGAAGATTCTAATACTAAAAAAGATTATGAATCGGTTCAAATTACAAAGAAATCTAGTAAATATGGACCAAAGAAAATTAATATTAAATCTTCTAAAGTTCTAAAAATTAAAGACGATTTTTGAAAAGTTAAAGGTTTAACTAATGATAATTTTTTTTAATATGATGAAGATTTGTCTTTTTCGTGATAGAGTATAAAGAATTTGTCTTTTAATATATATAGTATACAGTATGAATTGATTTTAGTGAAGAAAATTTTAAGATTTTTTTATGATTAGATATTTTTTGACTATTTATATGATATAATTTTATTATGAGTTTGACGTGATTCTTTATAATTTTCTTTTCTTTTTTAATAAAATTTAAATGTAATGATAATCATGTCTAACATGAACTTATTAGAAAAGTGAAATACTAAATATTTTGTTTTGATTTATAAAAATGAATTAGTTAAGGTTAATTCACTTATTTAAGGTTAGTTCATTTACTTAATTTAGTCTATGGAAAAGACGAGCTTGTTTGCGACTGAGAAAGTTTAATTTGCATATATAATTTAAATTTAATTCCCTTAGTTTTTGTGAATTTTTTTCTGGCGAATTAATTTAACTTTACCAATTCAGTCATTACATGATATTTAATTCTGGATAACAATCTACAATTAGAAATATAAATGTGATATGCTATTAAGTCTTTGTAGGTTTAATTTTTCTCTCTATTACAGGTATTCATGACTTATAATTGTCGAAATTATAAAATTTAAAAACTTGACTTATTTTAAAAATTAATCTAAATCAAACTTGAGTCTTTTGTGTGGAATTCCTAAACAATTCAAATTATTTACAGCTCCATAACATTTATAATAAAATGAAATATGCAGAAGAGATTTTTTAATTTGGCTTTTGAATATGTATATTTTTTATTTTAAATTAATTTATCATCATATTACCTTTTAATCTTGAAAGAACTTTTAATTTTACTTTGACTCGTTCTTTATATAATTTACAAAGTAAAATCTACACTCAACACACTCATATATATGTTAAAAGAACCAGCTGATAATATATATGTGTACTTTTCTCCAAGAAGAATGTTGACATGGTTATCTGAAGATGTAACTTGTATAATACATTCATACTTACCTATTATATTACAAATCATTGTGCTAGCTTTATTCTATTCCAGTTATTCATATAGATATCACAGAATAGTGTCTTGGATCCACTTCCAAAATGATATCAGAGATATCATTAGGACACAAGAATTTCAAAGGTTGTCTGGAAGTTTTTCAGCCACCAAGATGTAAAAAAGGCCCATCACTCCAGAGTGCATTTGGCTGTTGTTGTATATAATCTCTAGAGTTAGACTTTCACCATCTATTATTTTGATAGAACCTGGTTTAGGATAACATGTGGACATTCCCACAACATACCCTTTCTCATTTCCTGCTTCAGTTCCATTTCCATATTTTGGTATTGAAGAACAAATCACTCCCCCATCCTGAATTATTTTCACACCAAAATTTCAAAGACTTAGTTAACATCTCACAAATTACAAATCATGTTAGTCTTAAGAGTAAAAGTATATGTAGCACCATTCATTTTTTCTCATTTACTACAAGAATATTGATCTGTTTAGAATGAAAACTATAATTGTTGACGAACAGCACCTGTCCATATAGAGTTGCAGCAGTTGCACCTGAGTGTACATGACCAAAACCATATATGACATAACCACCAGTTTGCATTGGGAGGCTTGTTTTCTTTACATCAATGCAAGCACTACTACTGTTGTACCCTTTGCTGCAAGCTTCAACCTGATACTCAACCTGAACCAAATATATAAATCCTTTGTTACTTATATCTAATAAAGTCAATGTGTAAAAATAGTATACAGAGAGAGAAAAAATAGGTGTAGTTTATAAAAAGCAATGCATGTGGTGTTAATATAATTATCCAACTTTAACTTGCAGAGTAAAGTATAATCCTTTAGTATATGTTTCTAGAAAAATATTTTACTTACCTTGCAAGTATGATTTGGACTGATTCCTTTGGACACATTCAAGATATCAGTCACATCAAGTATATAAATCTTAAGGGGCACCACATGGTTATCCCAGTTGATCCACTTCACTGTGTATCTCAGATATAGGCTTCTCTTTGGACCATTGAAGCCTTTCTCCAACCTGCAGTGAGAATCATCAGGGCAACAATCCAAACCTCCTTTGTAAGATGGACTCAAAGGTTTTCCATTCCCATCTGTTGTAACATTATATAGGTCACACCTGCACTCAGTGCATCCCATCCTATCTTCCACACCCCTTGTATCAATGGCATGCACATTGATGTACCACTTCTCCTCATAACCATATGGAATTTCTGAAGGGTTTCCAATTTCTATCCCAAAAGGGTCTGGAATATCAGTGGCAGTTCCTCTTGTTTCAGATCCAAGCCCAAAATACTGCCCAAGAACATTTTCCTGGCACAAGCCACTGTTTCTCAGCTCAACAATATGTGTTTGGTTGTTATTGAGTGACACATTTTTAGGTTGGTGGTATTTTACTACAATCCAGTGATGGAGATATGTTTCTTGTAGAGGTACTGATTTCCCTGCCTCATCAACCACTTCAGCATTGAAACTTTTGATTGCAATATGGCCCCTTGGAATGTCAACATCAAAATAAACTTTGTTTGCAACTGACCCTGGACCTAGCTCAAACCTCGGTGATAAAAAAACAGATGTTTTTATGTCGTTCTCAGGTTTCCCCATAGCAGTTGATGAGTATGTTGTGCATGAAACCAAAAGTAATAGTGTCCATGAAACCAATCTCATGTCGAATATCTGTTAGCATATGCATAATCTTTATCAGATAAATATAGTTAACTGTAAGAAATTTTAAGGAAAGTGTGTCATCTTCAGCAAACCAGTAACCAAAGTAGAAAACTAAAATAAAGATCATGCATACAAGGACATTTTAAAACTTATATTTCTTCTGTATTAAAGCTTAGAACAAAATAATTATAATAATAAAAAAGACAAAATTAATGAACAAACAGAAGCAAACCATGTTAGCTAATTTTGATGGTTTATGAAGTCAACGTGCAAGAGAGCCAAATGGGTATTCAAGTTGCTGAGAACTTTTTATGACAGATGATTGCAGAGTATGTTGCAATAAGTGAAAAATAGTGGCAGTGGAAGACGAAAGGACATACCTCAAATAGGGTAATTAGTTTGACAAGAAAGAGGAGTAACTAGGAAATGATTGTTCAGCTAAAGTGGTTTCATTGTAAACCTCGAACAAAGGTTTTTATAGCGATAGATGGAGTGTTTTGCTTTCGTATGCTCTAAGCCATGACGTTTGCCAGAAGCATGGATATTGAATTTAGATAGTTTAGGTTTGAATGATTTTCATAAAGTAAACAAAATTGATAGATTTCGAATTTAGTAGCAACACAGCAAGAAAAACGAAAAGGCGTTGACATTTTGAACATTTTTATCTTCAAAAGTAACTATCCAACATTAATGAGAGATTTATTTATTGTAAGTCATCCATCATATTCAATCAACTAAACCTATTTCATATATTCTAATCTGAATGCAATTTCCTGTGGATAAAAAAAAAAAGATATTGTACCTATGACTATCTCAACAATTAGAATGGAAGTTTAGAGAGTCAGACATGCTATGACAACAATCACAATTATTAAATTTAATACTGATTAAGTTACAACAAAATCTAAGTATTATCAAGTGAATCATGATTAAGTAGTCGTTAATCTAAAACTCATTTATAAATACAGTTTTTATAAAGAGATAAATAATACAATTTAATATACATTTATTATTATATAGCTATCGAATCTTTGACAAAACAGATAATTGAAAGAAACGGTAAAGTGAAAACAAGCATTCAAACTTTCATAAAAGAGGTGATACAATAAATAGATAACTTCGACCCATAATTGAAGCAGATCCAAAACTATAAAAATAATTTATTTGTATTAAAGAAAATTGTAATTATATAATAGTCCGATTAATTTGAATTTTAGGAAATATTTATTTGATAATCAATATTAATTAATATCTATAAAAAATTATTAAACATCATGAATATTATCAAAAGTTCAATATGTTTTTGTCTATAAATATACAGAATTTAAATTGTAATCATTAAAAAGAATGTTTACTCCTATCCTTATAAAATAAAATAAAAAAACTAATTCTTATAAAAATATATTATAAGGTATGTTATCTGTGATGGTCTTGAATATGGACTTATTCAATCTTTTATATATTCCGAACAACACATCACCTTACATCATATCATATATCTGTCATTGATTAACTTCTCACCAAATATTGCCTTACACTATATTGCATCTCAAGAAAATATTGAAAAACTCTTGCATTTTTTGTTTTGTACAAAATTATTTAAAAACATTGATCATAGATTAAGTTGTTAATTTTAAAATTTTATATAATTATATATATTAAAAGTGTTGAAGTCTGGAACAAAATTGATGACGAATACTTCCAGAAACAAACTCGATCATATGTATGGCAACTTAGAACACTGTTAAGATCAATGATGCTTGAAGATCGACAAAATGAAATAATATCTTATTCACATAAAAGCTCTTGCAGATTGTCTTGCTTCTGTCAAAGATCTGGTGTCAATTCAAGAACAGAAAGATGTGATTCTTGAAGGCCTTTTCATAGTTAAGAATCTAAACAAAGAATATCAAACTCTCATACTTAAAATCTCACAAAATTATAATTTTTATTCAACTCAAATGTGTAGAATGGAAAGTGGAAGCCCTTCATTTATAGGGTACAGAAAGCTTTCAAGAAACTTGCTAAACAAATTCATCCAAAGAGGACAATCCAGCCTGTGGTTCTGAACTAAGATGGGTGATTATAATTAGGAGTACAACTCTCATTAATCAGCCGTGTTTTTGAAGATCTCATTTTAACCAAAAATAAAACAAAATTAAATAATATGTATTGGTATGACAATGTATCACGTTGAGTATCTACATGCTATCCGATCAAAACAAAATCTGTTTACGTATTTAAAAAATATCTACAAATATTTTATAAATTTTTAAAATAAAATTACAAAATTATTTATAAATATAATATAAATTAAAATTTAATTTTAATTAAATTTAACTTTGATATAATATAAACAATATGATAATAAATACTTAAAAATATTAACGAATTTTATCAGTAAATATCCGCACCTTGTATATATGTTTAAGCAAATCTTTATTTTATAAATTAATTTGTTAAAAAAATCACTTGTTAATATGAATACATGTATCTTTTATTTCATATCTTTAACACTAGAAACAAGTGAGACAGGATTGGATTTTGACAAGTGATTATTTATCTTATGTTTATTTCACTTGTCTCACTTGTTATCTTATGTTTATTTTTAAAGAAAAAATTATTTATCTTCTTCTCGTATTTAAATCATAAATATGAAATTTTAATTTCATCTTCATTCTTTCGTATAAAAGAAATACACTCATATATGTATCCGTAATTATATTTTTTATTTTACTGTTTTAATATAATTAATTAATTTGTATTAATTAATTGTGTCTTTACAATCTAAATATAATCAATAATGAACTTTTACATACTTGAGAACTGGTTTGCTTTTATTAATAAAGTTTACAAAACTAAATTGATAACAAGTGCATTTTCAGATTAAATTGATACTAAACTGCTACAAATACGAGCCAACCTCGTATTTTGTGAAAAAATGAAGTATAAAGAAAAGTAGAAAGATAAGCTATCTTAATCATTACACATTATTCATCATAAAGATAATAATTAAAATAGTTATAGATCTTAAGCATATAACTATAAAAAAATTGGCAAGTTCATTAACGTTTTCGATATTAGGTAATTGTTTTAACTTTTTCTTATAATTTTTTTTAAAGTTTCATTTTCAGGCAATAATATTTAAGTTATTTGCATTTGATTCATTTTTCTGGTTGTTCAGTCCCAATACAGTTTATAAATAAAATATTTTTTTGAAGGAATAAATAAAAGAATTGAAAATTAAAAAAATAAGTAAACAAGATTATAGTAATGGTCTGAAAGGTGGACGAGTTTGTCGTCATGCCGTGTCAACATTCAGAGAATGATTCATACTTATCCTAAGTTTTGTTTTATCTCTTTTTTTTCAGATTAAATAATTAAATAAGGATAAAAATTGGAAAATTATATAAAGAGTGTATTTAAAATATTATCTCTTATCTTTTTTACAAAACGAAACAAAAAATAACAGTGTTAAATGATCATTTGTTTATTGTACAGGGATTAGAAAGAATAGTGTATAGAAACATAAACTTAATATCTTATTATTAATATCAAATTGGATAATCTGTACCAGTAAATATTATAAATTTTTAATTCCTTTAAGCATTGTCTTCAACACTAAGAAAATGTGATTGTAAATGGAAGGATATTATTAATAATGATAAATCATAGCATAGAATGTCGAATAAAATTAAAAAAATATTAAGCTTCGAACACATCCTATCCTCAATTTAATAAAAAAAATGTATTTGTCGCACTTGGCTTTATTAATTAGTTATTGATTTAAACTTTAACGTAGAAATTGACACAAAAATTGAAATGTCAATCTCAAGAAATCCATGCTGACACTGAAGTTTGTTTCGTACTTAAATTGATCTTATATTAAAGCATGTGGTTCCTTCTTTCCAGTGTGAGTGTCTCATTTGATTTTGCGAAGAAAAAAGGTGTCATTGTTGGAAATTGAAATAAGAGAACACAGATAGAAATGGCGATTTGCAGGGTGAAATATTTGCTTTCTCTTTCGAAATGTTTTTCATTACGCGCTTTCTCTTCGGCACAGGGTCCCCCTCCTCACTTGCAGGTTTTTCTCTAATTTTATCATTAATTTTTGCCTTGCTAAGCTGAAATTGAGTATGCAAAAACACTTAATGTGGGCATGATTATGTACCCTTTTGTTTGACTTGTTACTTGCTAAGTTGATGCATGCTTTGTAAATTTTCACCTTCTCTTCGCTGATGCCCTGCAGAATATTGGATTCATTGGGCTTGGAAATATGGGGTCCCGAATGGCAAATAATCTGATCAAAGCTGGATTCAGTCTTACAGTTCATGACCTGTAATCTTTTAAGCATTTCCAATTTCCTGATCATGCCTTTGTTCTTAAATTTGTCCTCGGAGAGTCCTGTGTTTTTTCATTTCATTTGTACGGTCAATTCATAAAATATAGATATTTGGGACATGGATTTGGGAGTATGATTCATAAGGGGAGTCCGAGTTAATGGTACTGCTAATATAAGTGGGTTTTTGTTAGGAAGCTGAAAGTTACACTACTGTAAAACTAAACTTATCTTCCATTGAAGAACTATTGAGAAGATAATAGTTAAAGATTAATTTTTTTATTGTTGGTAAACGAGGAATACACTTATATTACCCGGAAATGTCAGCAACTGAAAAATGACCAACAAGTGTCACTATGTAGGGAAATTGAAAATATGAACTTATAATACATTCTAATATTCTAAGATCATCCTGTAGAATCCTCAAACTGCTTACTCATTTTCTATTTGGGCCTCCATCCCAACCGTTCAGTTGTTTCAAATCTTACTTATTTAGGCAGAATGCTTGAGGTGTTGTTAATTGAATTTCTTAAAAATTTGCAGAAACTCTGATGTTCTCGACCTGTTCTCTCAGATGGGAATCCCCACAAAGAAAACACCTTATGAAGTTTCAGAAGCAAGTGATGTTGTAATCACAATGTTACCTACTTCTGCCCACGTGAGTAGGGTCATTAGTTTCAAAAGGCATTCCCTTACACGTGAATACATTACATCTTTCATGGCTCCAGTTTCTTGGATAGTTCTTCGACAACTTATTATTTGAATTATGATTTCAACTTTTTTGTAAACTGGCTCAGATTATAAGATTGTCAACTTCTCCATATAGTTTCTTTGGTAAAAAGAATTTCAAAGATGTTTGATGTAACCTATAATGCTGCCATATATACAAAAAAAGTGGTTTCTGATTCTGTAACATGATGAAACCTAATATTTTCTCATTTTTGTCATCAATTCCTCCCTATTTAACCTAATGTAGCACATTAACTGAAATAACATTGGATTTGTAATGTATATTTGGAGGCATATAAATGAACTTATTTAATAGTCAATCCTTGCGTCAAATTATTGTATAGTCTGATTGTATCCTTTCTGCCATTTAGCTTTATCTTTACATAAATCGTGGCATCAATATTTAAAGCAGACTGCCTTGAATTGTAAACTGTTATTTAGCTGAACGGTTTTCTAAGGTGCGCACCTGAATATTTCATTTAGCATATGTCTGGTTTCAATGAATTGTCTTAATGCTCCCAATGTTATTATATGACTTTGTTCTAATACCAAAATATCATCCATATTTAATTTAAGTAGGTGATTGATGTTTACACTGGAAGAAATGGTTTGCTTCATGGTGGAAAACTCCTAAGGCCATGGTTGTTCTTAGATTCATCCACTATTGATCCAGAAACATCAAGAAATCTTTCTGCCACAGTTTCTAATTATATTCTAAAAGAAAAGAAAGGTAACATGAAGTGAAGTGTCAACCAAATAAATTGTTGTAACTTAAATTTCGAATGTATGAATTTCTTACTCCTTTTAGCACCAGAGTTATTTTTATCATACTAATTCATGATGATTTGTTGCTAATGGAAAATCCTTGACCATTTTATGAAAATGTCTTTCACTTGTATATATGGCTATGGTATCCAATTCACAAAATTCTGGTATTTGTATAAAACTTGAGTGGAACTTTTATCCTCCTCATGGAATGTGTTGAACACTTACCTCGTTGTGTTTGTTCATTTTGGTCTACACAGAAACCCAGAGTATCATGTCTATTGTTAAAATCACAAAGCTGGGGTTCTGCATTTTATATATCTTGCCATTCAAATATTTTATAAAGATCCTTTGATTTATTTTATGGAGCTCTTAACACTTTCTACCTTTGAGTGTATTTTCTTTGTAAATCATATGTGGCAAATGTTTCTATTGTCATCTTGCCATTCAGATATTTAATAAATATTCTGTAATTTATTTTCCGAAACTCACAACAGTTGTTACCTCAGAGTTTGTTTCTTTTATCAATCACATGTGGCAAATGTTTCTAACGTTATTCCTATCAGTCTTTCTCATAAGGATGAATCTAATTTCAGTCATTGTGTTGCATCATGTTCCGTCAACTTTTTAATTGATTTTGAAGTTAATAACAGATCTGCAGTTAAGGAATGTGTAAAATAAGCATAGAACTATGATAACCTAACTGATTCCAAACTGAAAATTGCCCACCACTTTCTGTTGTATTGAGTTGTCTAGATTTTAGCACGAGTAGATTTTCACATTTTATCATCAGTCATTGCTTTGCAAATAGAATGAAATCTGTATTCATTTTGAAGATGGTTCTTAAAGGAAAATGTGTAGGTGTTAGACAAAGTCTTCTAGAGTATAAGTTATCTTGTTATATTATTCTTTATTAATGTATAGAGGGGTTGTCCTAACATCCTCCTCTTCTAGGATTTCAATCAATCAGTAGGTTAATTTACTCCTTTAGCGTTGTGGTACTCAATGATTATATATTGTGCAGGTGATTGGGAAAGACCTTTCAAGTTAGATGCTCCGGTATCTGGAAGTGTAACTGCAGCTGAAGCTGGGACACTTACTTTTATGGTATTGTTACTGTTTTATTCTAACATTCTGAGAATCTACATAAAACTACAATATAATTTTGGCTTAATTGTTTGATGCCAGAAACCAAACGAACATTGTATGACTAACTTTTCCGATTCCCATTGAAGATATTTACTTTTAGAGGAGACTCCCAATGTGGTGTTTGAAAAAGTAGGGACATTTATTGTAGTCTCAATCTGTTCCAAGTTTGCAATAACTGTTGGACTATTCTGGTGTCAAAAAAGTATCATTCAAGTACCAAATTGATGCTCTGGTGACCAAACTAGGAGTTCACAGAAGTTTAGTGTGTTCGTTCACAATTTGATGTTAAATTTTGACTATAATCATGCCGCAATATTATTTATAATGCATCAAAGGTACTATTGGCTAATTGAAAAATGTTGTAATGTGGTAACACTGCTAAAACAGTCATAGAAAAAAGTTGTAAGTTTTTGGAAAAAATTGAGTAGTGAACATGTAATGGAACTTCCCCAGGTTGGTGGTTCTGAAGAAGCATTTCTTGCTGCAAAACCCTTACTCTTTTCAATGGGTAAAAGTGCAATACATTGTGGTGGAGCAGGAAGTGGTTCCGTAAGTTACACATTACTTATTGGTCTCCCAAATGTCTGTTTAACTGTAAGTCACGTATTAGTCTTGGGTTTTGTTATTAGGCAGCAAAAATCTGCAATAATTTGGCTTTGGCTGTGAGCATGCTTGGAATATCAGAAGCTCTTGCTCTAGGCCAATCTCTAGGTGTTTCTGCTAGCACGTTGACAAATATATTTAATTGCTCCAGTGCTCGTTGTTGGAGTAGGTACGTGGTTCTTTTTTCTCTCGACTCAAAGAGGAAGTTGTCTGATGAACTATAATCACCACCATCATTGACAAAATGTGGTAGCAAAGATTCTTAAAGGCCTCAGAGTTAGTAACTGTCATATTGTAGATATAAATGAATTGGTAAGGAGTATTGCTCCCCTAATACGAATGAAAGTAACATGAAATTCAAAAGGCTGTAATATTGAAGTACATCATCTGAGAGACACATAACTTGGTTGTCTTTACTTAGCATCACTGCAAAGGACATATTCCAAACTCGTTCTTGGTATTTTCTCCTATAAAAGACTGGCCTCGTATCTGTTGTCTTGTTATATTCCTTGAGACCCTTTGCTTGTAGTTTTCTCCCGATAACAAAATTATGCTTCCTTTTTTGAGCAATAAATTTTTCATATATTGATTAGTTCACAACCTTTAAGGAATTTTTTAGAAGGTTAATGTTGCATGAATTACAGTGATGCTTACAACCCAGTTCCTGGGCTGATGGAAGGGGTGCCTTCGTCAAGGGATTATATAGGAGGATTTGCATCCAAGCTTATGGTAAGTAACTGACGTTTAACTCTACCTGCACATGTTTAATTTGGGTAATTGTATCATTTGGAAATCTATAGTATGAATAGTCATTACAGAGCGAACATTTGGACCTACTGATATATTTCAACAGGAATAGCCACTCATTGACATAATTAACCAAGCTTTTATTTTCTCTCTGAAAAACCCCTCTACCTTGGGTCATGTTCTTTCTGAAATTTACATGCTCCCTTTTAGTAACTCAATACATGTTAAATAATTAATTAGTAAGAATTTGCGATTTTTTGTCCTGAAAAACAGAAAAAAAATAATTAACTTCGTAGATGCATTTAGATTGTAGACCTAGAACAACTCCAAGTGAAATTAATAAAATTACCTTAATCAAATGCCATTTTGAAAACTTTGGTGTATGACAAAACTCAATGTTCTACTCTGTTTTATTAGGCTACTTCCTAGGAACTACCAGCTATTTTTTATTTATTGCACAAATTTCTTTTTTAGAGCTTTTGCATGTCCTATATGAATGATGTTTAACTTATGCTGCTTCTCTTTTCCTTTACTATTTTCACTTCGCTCCTGGCGATCTATTATACATTTCTCGGGATCCTTTCTTCCTTTTTTGTTTTGTGAAACCTGATGTTGGATTCCATATTCAAAAATATGTATAACTTGCTAATAAAGATTTTCATAACAAAAAATTGTTTCTAGACTGAATGACAAGTCTATTGTGATTATTTTTTTCTTTCTGAGATCAATTTTATTATTTATTTAATTTTGAGTTTTATAAACAAGTGTGTAAGTGTTGTGTGTTTGCTGGAGTTTGAATTTTAGGTTCTTAAAAGTAAGCCAAATTAATTCTGTGTGTTCCAGGCAAAGGATTTGAACCTAGCAGTAGAATCAGCAAAACTGGCTGGATGCACATTCCCACTAACATCGCAAGCTCAAAAGATGTAAGTCCCTCTTTTGCATGCACAGCCTTTGCATTTCATGTACAACTCTTTGCTGTTAATTCCGCTGGTTAAAATTGTTGTGGTTGTGGACCTTAAAACATAATATGAATGTGTTGGTTAAGCATTAAGGTGCAAAACACTGTTTTTACTAAAGCAAAACAAATTATGCAAACTACCAACTGGATAAATCAACTTATGTTTGTTTACATAGATAAATAAATCTGTTGAATATGAAGGCCATATACGGAGACGGCTCTATCAGTGTACATTTTTTAACTAATTATTTTGGTAAATAATTGGTCACGAAAATGTTGGATGAGATTCTATTTGTATTTCCCAAATTCATGAATGTTTGGTCCTCATATTTCAATAGTTTATTAGGAATGAATGGGAAACTTTATCCGATGTGCTTCATATACCTTGTATACTAGTTGAGCTTGAACCAACACTTTCGCGTTATGCTATGACGTGCCTTTATCACTGCAACGAATATCAATCACTATCTTACTGGTAATTAATATCCAAAAAAATCAATTCATTAATTTCATATAGATTTTAAAACGCATTACCACTACAAAAGAATTGCACACACGTTATGCTGGTGTCGAAGTATAATATAATTCGGATTTGGCAGAAGATATATATAGCTTTAACTTCTTTGGCAACATCTTTCTTGTGAGTGCAAATTCTGTTAGTCCTGAGAATATGAAGCAGTTTATTTACTAATGAACTTTATTTTGTGCAGATATACTGAGCTCTGCAGCAATGGCTATGAAGCCAAAGACTTTTCGTGTGCTTTTCGTCATTACTACTCTGGCCTAGATGAGCCCCGCGATCAGTAAATTAATTCGTTGGTTGTGTACTTGTATTACATAAAACTGTAAACATTTGGATTCGATTAAGTTGTAGAATCAGTTGCAACTTGGCATAAATCATAAAGGACTTGTGAATCCACGAGAAAAACATATATTAAAGCAAAAATTCTAAATGCTATGTTAAAAAATACAGAAACGAGCACCATCAAAACGAATTGCTGGTCCAATTGACAGTTTACAGACAAATTCCATTTACTCTAATCATTCGGAGAAAATATAACGACGGGCAAAACTTCTCTCCACAAACACTTTGGCCAACACATCCACCACACAGTATTTTTCAACATTAAAGCTCCAATTCTCTTCTAAATTATAAATTCCTTGGTTAGTTGGTTTCCTTCTGCAAAACACCCAAAAGTAAGTTACTTACGGACGAGGTTGTGGAAGGGGGGACAAATCTTTTTCAAGAATAAATTAAATAAAACTTCTTGTTAAGCAGAAAGGAAATGTTTCATTAAACCATTGAATTTTAATATAGCTAGTTCAAATTAACCTTGCGTTAAAGTAATTATTACCTGCAAAAATTATTGCCACTTTCAGTGCTTTCCTCCATGCTTGGATTTTGAGGGGATTTTACCATAAGCCTTAAGCCTCAACTGTGACAACTTCAAATTAGCCCCTTGTCGCCTTCTCTTGGCTTTCCTAGACAAATTATCCGTATTAACATTTGATTCTTCCGGGCTTGCTTTTTCTTCCTCCACAACACTTCTTGACGAAGTTTTCTTGCCAGAATCAACCTTTGACTTCTTCCTTTTCTTCTTCTCCAAACTTTTTGCACGTAGAAGCTCCTTAGCCCTCATCTTCAGCGCGTATCTTTTTTGTTTGCTTAGTTTCCATTCTTCATCGCGGTAGGGAGCAAGCTTTTTCAAGGAAACATATTGACTCAATTCCTTGTCATCCATTAATAGTATCTCTGAGGCACTCATGCCAAATCTATTTGGTTTTGTATTAGCATACTTGAATCTTGTCTTCAGGTCCCCTATTGTGTCCTCGTAATCTAATTTATAGTACTCATCCATCATTGCCTGTCTTGCTTTCTCCAAAAGTGCTGTTTTGCGCTTCCTCTTCCGACTACCTTCCTCGGGAATCTTCTCTTCTTCCTCATCTCCTTCTTCATCTCCTCCTTCTGGGAGATCATCATCACTAGTATTCTCAATCTTTTCTTTCAACACTATTTCCCTTGCAGCTAAAAACCCACCATTGGATCCGCTTTCATCCCAGCCTTTAGAAAGCCCAAGTAATTCATCCTCCTTTTCAAAATCTGGCTTCTCAATGTCATCGTTGTCACTACAAAAGTCAGGGTCAGCATCCTCTGCATTGTAATATTTATCATCAAATGCCGCCTTCATCATTCTATCATACTCCTCTGGGTTAAATTCCTCTTCGATTTCTGCCATAGACAATGGGATTAGATCATCATCATTAATCCCTGCAGTCTCCATTATCTTTTTAACCTTCTCCTGTATCTCCTGCTTCTTCAAATTCTTTAAATGCTTCAACTCCTCCTCCCTCTCGTTTTGTGCTATAGCCATTCTCTCCTCCTTGCTCTTTCTCTGCTCCTTCCTTGTATTTGTCTTCTTCCTCACTGATCCCTCCACTTTCCGAGCATGACCCAACACCCTATCTCCTGGATTTTCCTGAAACCTATACTCATATTCTTCCTGTCTTTCGAGCTCTATCTCATCCTCAGAAATCTCTTCCAATTCGTCCTCTCCAACATCCAAATCCTTCCCACTCCTGTCAATCCACATTTTGTTCATGAAATAGCTTCTCAGAAACTTGGAATTTTCATTTGATTCTACATCTCCACCAAAATATTCATCCAGCTTCTCCTCAAGCTCTTTGTCATCACTATCTACTTTATCCTCTTCGCCCTCTTTCCCCTTTACAGTGAAAAACTCTTCTTCACCATCCTCCAAACCCTCTTCTTCTACAGCTCTCAGAAAAGACCTTTTCAATTCCTCCTGCTCATCACCTTAAGTTTTCTTCCCATCTTTATTAACAAAATGCTCATCTTTGGAAGGCATTACCTTCTTAGCCTTTTGCTTTCCCTTTTCATCTATTTCGTCTTCATGGCCAAAATCTGCCCCCTCCTCAATCAAATGCTTTGCCATCACATCCTTCAAATACATTGGCTTTTCACCCCTTTTTTCTTTTGATTTAAGATTCCCCTCCTCGTCGCTTTCATCATCACTGCTATCATCCGTACCAAAAAGCTCAACATCCTTTTGCTTAAGAATAGGATCTTGTTTCTTCACCTTAATTAAGGCATCAAAGAGCTCCTTGTCACTCTTTGTAGAATTAACAAGTTTCTCATCGTCAACATCATCTAATGACTCAGACTCGGAGTCTTCCTCATCTCCGGAATGGGAGGATGAAGGTGAATCAATAACACCCTTCTTTTTTAATTCCTCAAACCGCTGGAGGTCCTCCCGCTTCTTGTTGTGCTCAAACTTGCGAGCATACCCCTCGTCGATCTTGATTTTTGAAATGTCATCGTTTTCGGAATCACTGCCCTCAAAAAGTTGAAGAGGCATTCTCTACACTGCGTGATAAGGCTAATCACAACAAAATTAATCTCGCCAAAAAGACAGCTCCTCCAAAGATATGCCCAGCATAGAATCTGAAATTTCAATACATATATAAATACCAAACAAGCCTTGCGTTAATACAGGAAAATTGGAAAAATCTTGCAACAGAACTTGTAGGGGATTAAACAAGAACCCGAAAGAAATAGAACTATAATCCTCTCATACAGTACATCATTGTTTCAAGTTTGCAGGAACATAACACTTTATTTAAAAGATATGTTTGTTTTTATGTTTCATTTTTGTTAATATTAAACATAATTAACCTGTTAGGTGTAAGGAACATCATCAAACAGCTAGAATGCAGAACATAGACTAGAAGAAACGAATTACCCAAGAGATAAAATACAGATTACCAACATAACGAACACAAATCCAATAAAGGGCACTTGCAGTGTGGTTTGGGGACTACATAATTGAGTACAGAACACAGGATAACGGTATCAAGTTTATTCTCATCGAAGTCAAATGACAGGGAATACATAGAATACAATACAAAGCAAAGAACAACATACAGAACATGCATTAAAAGTTTGAATTGCAATAAACGATAATCCAATTAACATAATCCTATTAAGAAAAAAAAAACTGTGAGTTGACAATGGACGCACCGTAGATGGCTAACTTGAGACGCTGGGGAACGGAGCCAACATTGCTGAGAGGGGTTCTAATGAGACAGACTCGCTTCTGAATTTCTCATGCCCCACCAAACCCTAATTGGTTTTTTATTTTTTTTAATCTAACTGGTCTGACCCGACCCGATTCCGCCCACCCACCCGATCCAATAAATAAATTATTAAGGAATTAAGTTTATAATGGTGCATCATTTTAGTTAAAAAATGGTTATTCAAGGGAAAAAAATTATCTTCTATTTTCCATTTACAGTATATTATAGATAGTATTTTATACAAAAAAAGTTTAGCTGAGAAAAACACGATTGTAATTTACAATTTTAGAATCAATTTATAAAATAAAATGACATTTGTTATGTAATGTATAGATATAAAGATTTATCGGTCTTATTAATCACGGTCTAAAAATAAATCTTAGTATCAGAAGACTTAATCAAAAATAAAATTCATTCAAATAAAATCATAGTCAACAAGATAATCTTATAAATAAATATAGGTTTAATACCTCTTTTGGTCCCTAGAAAGGGGGCCAATGTTCAATGTGGTCCCACCTTTTTTTAGAAGTTCAATGTGATCCCATCTTTTGTAAAAAGTGTGCAATCAAGTCCTTTTTGGAAACGGCGTTAAGTTTTTAACGGAGCAGCTGACAGGGTGGACTGAAGTTAGCTACGTGGCTTTGTGTGAGTAATACGTGGCAGTGAGAGGGTGATACGTGGCTGTGAGAGGGTAAATCAGAAGTTAGGGTTTGAGTTGCAGAGAAATTAGTAATTTGGGATTTCTTAGAAGATCAGAGAGGCGAAGAACATTGTCGTCAACGATACCATACTCCTTGATCCGGGCTATCTCTTTGCCATCGGAAACCAACTTCTGCTTTTTCACCACGAAGCCTTTGCACTGCTGAATCCTCATTTTCACCGAAGCAATGGAATCAGATTCCAACACGCGCATTGGGGTTACAACGCCATCCACAATTAGGTAAAATCAAGATTGGCTCACCAGAACAATGTCCCGACTGCCCTTCATATTACCCCTTCTCTTCGAAAACTGAACTCAAAGCAAACTCAGCAATTCAAATATCTCAAAGTCAATCACTCTTTTACCCTTTTTCTTGTTCCAGGTTCCCAATTTGCCTTACCTTATCCTACTCGTTTTCTGCTTTACTCCGAAATTTGTTTTTTGATGATACAACTCAATGGGACCCAAAGAAACAAAACAAAGAACCTGTTTTTGAGGTGCCCAGAAGGAAATTTTGATTGTGCTTTGGAAATGGACGATGGAATGAAGAATAACGTTAATAAAAAAAACAAAAGCAATAACTCTCAAATAAATGGTGGAAGTGAAGCAAGCGAGAGAGGACTCTTACCAAGAAGAAATCCCAAATTACTAATTTCTCTGCAACTCAAACCCTAACTTCTGATTTACCCTCTCACAGCCACGAATCACCCTCTCACTGCCACGTATTACCCACACAAAGCCACGTAGCTAACTTCAGTCCACCCTGTCAGCTGCTCCGTTAAAAACTTAACGCCGTTTCCAAAAAGGACTTGATTGCACACTTTTTACAAAAGATGGGATCACATTGAACTTCTAAAAAAAGGTGGGACCACATTGAACATTGGCCCCCTTTCTAGGGACCAAAAGAGGTATTAAACCATAAATATATTAATAATGATTTGACTCTCACTTTTAGCATTTAATTTAATACAGATTTGATTTAGAGTACACCAAATATGGACTTAAGCTTTAGAGAATTTTGTAAACATTTTTTTTTCCATGACTAAAACAATAAACTAAGAGAACGAATACTAAACAGTGTGAAAAAAAAAAGCATCTTTACATGATACCTTCAATCCTATAAGACCATTTTATGTTGTAAAAAAATAAAACTAAATATTCAGAAAGTTAATTGCAAATTATAAACTAAATTTATGAAAAGAAAATTTCCAAAATCGTGTTATTTAAATTTCAATTTTACAATAAAAATACTAAACAATTCGAACAAGTTTCTAAAATGACATCAAATCTAATGTTTTTGAAAACAACGATTTGTCTTCAGATCATTGCATCATAGTAAATAACAGATGCTAACAATCAACACAAGCAAAGCTTGAATTTGACAAACCATGGCTTCCACAACCATAGTGATTACATGACAATACAGCTTCACTGTAGAGTAATCAGCATCGTTCTATGCTACTATTACTGATTTGTGTACTCTCAACGTCCTGAAGGTGAAAAGCAAGAGTTTGCTGAGAACCATGCCAACATCTTTGGCAATCAACTCTTGAAGGATGAGTTAAATCCACTAAAATGTGAATTGTTTGTACATACTAACTACAGAGAATTAACCATTTCAAGACAAATGATCATTCATAACACAAACCATTTCAAGACAAAATTAGATGGCCACAACCATCAAGTAAAATCCATGTATATGCATTTGGCACATGCCCCATTTTTACAGCTAAAAAATGGTTAATACAAACATGTTAAAAGGCCAAGCTTTGAACAAATATGGGACACTAATGAGACATTAATCCCCACAACATGCCAGAGTTGAAAGAGTTAGCATGAGCAGACTATATAGAAGAGAGATCTTCATATATAGTTTTGATGCCAGGCCTTTCAGAAACTGATCGAATGCATCGCATGGCTATTCCAAGGACCTCCTTCATTCCCTTCTCTACAACAGGATTGCTCATTTCTGGCATCAAGGTAGCATCAAAACATTCTGAGCCTCTGCCTTCTGCCACACGCAACCTCACCCAATCTGTCAGATCAACACCTCCCTCCTCACTAGATATCACATCACCAGCACACCTTCCGGTTAGAAGTTCCAAAAGTATAACTCCAAAAGCATAAACATCTGACTTGAAGGAGGGCATTGGCTTCTTGGAGGCAGCTAACTCGGGTGCACGATAACCCAAGACCCCAGCATCGAGAATCTGTTCAATAGTACCTGCTTGAGTCATGAGCCGGTGAAGACAGTAATCGGCGACACGTGCATTCATATCAGTTGTGTCTAACAACACATTTGTGGCTTTGAGGTTCCCATGAGGGACGGCACGATCAAAATGGAGATAGTTCAGGCCACGTGCTACATCAACTGCTATTTTGAGTCTCTGCATCCAAGTTAAAGGTGGACCTTTTCTTCCTGGTCGATCTGACAATTGAAACTTATAATTAAGTTCAAACTAGAGATGTTTAGGAATGATACACAACACCAAGAAGCTAAATAGATGAGTATTAGAAACTTTGATCGGTTGCTAAAACGAAATATGATAGGCAGCAGAATTAGAGCATTCATAGGCACAAAACTTATTCTAGCATTCAATGTAGAGTAGAAATCATGCAACCACAGATTCTTACATGGAGTGGAGACATTATTATATTATATTCAAGTAAATCCAAAAAGTGCAGAGAAACTAGCCTTTTACACTTTAAAAATGGAATTTCTTATAAAACGTCATCTTTGCTTGTTGTATTTCTCCGAAGAGTGACTTCCAGGATGCAATTCGAAGGAATAAGACT